AGCTATCAATGAGGGTTTTTTTTTTTCACTTTTCATATAATACAGTAGTCACACACAAGGAATATAATAAGGCATTTCATATTTGTCTCAGTGAATCATTAATTTTTGACAGACACCTGTACAAAATACTTGGGCAAAAGCCAGCTAAGATTTTCTGTTATCTTGCATGTTTTATGAATCTATTCACGTCTAAAAGCGGCACTTTTTTTCTGCGATGAGGCATTTGTTTTTATTCTAAAATATCTGAATTACTTTGAATAAAGCTGGAAATTATGTCCCTTAAAATAATTAAACAAATTAGGCACCAATATTTTTGTAAGATATTTACATTTATTTAGGACATTCGGTAGACTGATTCCCCACTGTTGGTTCAACCCCATTGAAAATTAATTATGACAATGCATATTTATATTGAAACAAACTATGATAAAGGAAATAATATTATATAACATAGGGCAAGGTCACCAGAGTTCAACTATGTTTTTATTAATGGTGATCTGTAATCAGTAACAAGGTACTCACATTTTAGTTTTACTGGAGAGCATATTTTTAACTGTCATATTTATTTGAATGTGAAACTCCCAAAAGAAGGTGTCTAGTGTGTATAGTCATCACCTTGGTTACACAAACTAGCCGCCATTTTGCAATACAGGTTTGACTCTAAAGGTACTTAAGTTAATTGCATGGCTTAATGGTTGCATATCCTCATCCTTGCCACTGTGAATGTGGGAATCTAGCCGTTTTCTGCATGCTTAATTTAACAGCCCATTTAGATAACCTGAAAAAAAGCATTAAACCAAATCGACTCTGACAGAAATAATTAGATTTATCTTAAATTGAAAAAAAAAATACTTGTACAAGAAAGGTCCTTGCGACCATCCAGGTATTTAACGGCCTCTTCTGGTGATTGCAGGAAGTGAATAAGTATTTATACATTTGGACATATTAGAAGGGGTCGAGGGAAAGGGTGATTTTAACAGATATTTTGTGAATAATATTATTTAAACATGTTAATGTAATTGTGTGGTATAAATATTATATTTTTAAATGTCACAACTTTCACAAAAAATTGAGTATATGAATTAGAATGAGAGCATATTCAGTAAAAGCTTTTAGTTTAGATCCCTGTCCCTCAATCGTTAGTTTGTAGCTGGATTTCATTAACGTACGTTATTGTCTCAGAGAGTGAATTACCATTATTATACCTGAAAAGAAGGAATTTAACAACACAAATGTGGGTGTTTGTGTCCTCATTTGCGCAAGTCCAACATTTGTCACTCTGATGACAAAGCAAACCATATGTTTTCAGACACCCGTATTCAGACAGTAATTATTAGATGTCCACATTAAAGCATTGCGAGACTAGCATCACTTTTAATTATCAGATTGAGTATTATTAATTGGATCCAATTTGATTGTATTTGCAATGTTGTATTCAGTAACAAGAGACCATTCTCAATATTTAGGACTCGTAAAGATACAATGAACGAAAAAATAAAAATTAACAAATGTGTCTACCGCGTCATTTGGTTCTCCAGTGCTGTGTGTCACATGTGTACATGTTAAAGCGATTACTTAATTTGTACTCCACCAGCCTCATTTAGAAATGCTGCTCTTAACTCTTAAATCATAATTGGCCAGTAATTAACATTCTACACACTAATGGTCGTTATAATTTATAATGATGATGGATTAGGTGTTGGTAT